CTCGTGAAGATTCTTGGAGTTCCAAGATTTTTGCTCAATAGGATCTCAAGTTGTCTGCCAAGAAGTCAACCCCCAGTTTCTGTGGATCTTTGCTGAACTTTTTCAAGTAGGGATGTCAATGGGTCAGGTTAAGTGGTAACCCACCTTGACCTGACTGGGTTTCGAATCAGGTTCAAGTTGAAGCAAATCTGTATCAAATCCAACTCATTGATATCTTGTTATAGGTGTCATAATATTGTTGGTTTCAATGTTTTGGTGATATTGTTTTATGTAAAYCTCTCTTCTTTGTTAGGAGAAGACTTGAAATTATTTTCTTTTCTCTTTAAATGAAACCTAAAATTATGTTTATCATAAGCCTTCATGAGTATACACTAGGTAACAGATATTTACAATAAAATATTCATCAAACTTCTAAATGGCATGGTAACRTTGAAAAATTTATAAATATAGCCTCTACTAAGAATAGGGGTACTGCTACACCCCATCTCCAGTCCCCATTCACTTCTTTGGTTTGCAGGATGGTTATATCTTGTTCTTCCTTCTTTTAATGTGTGTTTCAGAAAGAAGTCCATCATTGGGCTTGGGATGCCTACAGGACTTTTTTGATGCTCCTGACACTTGTAACTTATCTAGTTWATTGTACTAATGCATCCTTTAATATTGTTTCCAATAAAAATAAATTCAACTTAACAATTAGGAAAAAGGTTCTCTACTTGGATTAAATAGGGAACTTCCCTACATGSCCTGCCATGTTTCTACCACATGGAGGGTGAGGTAACTGTCTGAGCCATCCACGAACTAGGGAACCTGTGATTGGCCACCTCTGCAATCCTTCTGTCCACATCAACACTGCACCCCACCTTTTTTATCATCTAAGACAGGTAATATTGACCCTTGAAGCTTTCATTATTTTAATATTAAAATTCCCTGAAAGGAATGGTTTATTCTGGACACACAGCATAGCTTTTGAGGCTCAAACTTTCCCCCGCTAATAAAGGATAGTTAGAGGAACCATTGGGGCCATTTTGGGCTGTAAACGAAATTTGCCACATGGAATGTTCCTTGGTTGTTCAAAAATCTTTGTTGAATGATCCAATAGCAAGCCCATACCCTAACAATATATGATTTAATTATGGTATTGTTCATGACTTATACTTTTTAAAGATATAATTACATGGTATGTAATAGGCTATAACTTTAATAGAAAGTTTGTGACTGTTGAACTTACATAACTTATTTGGTTTTCTATTCTTTATTTTTTTACCTCATCCTGTTCACATATTCTTACTGATTTTACATTTTTGCTACAGAAKTTACAAGAGAGTTGACGATGCAAAGGCAATCTACATTTGTAAAATTTCATACATCAAATCCATGGAGCAGAAATAGGGTTCTTGTTTGGGTGGTAAGTACCTATGTTCTCGTTTGTAAAATTTAACAATGGACATGGCACTGATCAGAACAGATTGGTAGTACAGGATTCATATATGTAGTCTACTGTCAAAGTATCAGCCTTTTGCTACCTAAAGGCAAGGTCTTTTGAGGACTCATAAGTGTAGCATGTAGTCTACTCTACTGCAAGTCTGCCACTAACTTSTTGATGAAAAACTTTGAACCTCAATATGCTTCATCTTATTAATAGCTGGGTAGAAATAAATATAGATATCTAGTGACTATTTCAAAAGGGCTTCAAAAATGAAATTGTTTTAAATTCTATATCTCTTGCCTGGGTTTTTATTTATATATCATGCTGCCATCTTCTATATGTCAATTATTTGCTTAAAACAAAAMGAATTTGGTAGAACTTTCTGCTTCTTGGTTCTTCAGTCATTAGATCCCCCTTCCCCCAATATAAKCACAGTTTCCAGATACTGAGAGGATCAAAGTTTCCTTATGGACACTAACATGGTGAGCAGGTGARAGGGTGGATGCCTTGGGGTTGTGACCTGAAATCATGTGAAATTGCACCTTTGTATCCTATAGTTTCTTGTGTCAACTGGTCAATGGTTGAGCATCTTGGCACCTTGAACTYTCTATGCAACTGGTCAAGAATCTTTGTTCCATCCTATTGTAGAAACATATTTTTCTGTAAACTAGGGGATATAGTACTCCCTAATTTTATTCACCTTTCAAAACTCTTCCTCCTACATTTTTGT